AGGCCCCGGTTTTCAGTTATTTGCTATGCATCTTAGATGCTCTGCTGGAGAAGGAGGAACAGTCTCCTCCTGTACCAGTCAGATCCGATTTGACGGTACACACACAAAATAATAAAATAAAAATAAAATAGAATAAAAAGAGCTGAGGAGCAATGATATCAGCCTGGAGACTAAGGTGAGCTTGATCCAGGCCCCGGTTTTCAGTTATTTGCTATGCATCTTACTTGCTATGCATCTGAGAGCTGGACAATGACTAAGGATGACAGAAGAAGAATCAGTGTCTTTGAGTTGTGGTGTTGGAGAAGAGTCTCGAATGTACCGTGGACTACCAAGAAAACAAACACATTTATCCTGGAGAGGGTGAAATAAAGGTTGCTCCTTGGAGGCTAGGATTTTGAAGCTCTGTCTCACACACACTGGGCACGTGGCCGGGAGAGACCAGTTCTTGGAGAAGGACATCATGCTTGGAAGGATGGAGGGAGAGCACAGGAGAGGAAGACCCCGGATGAGATGGACTGACACAGTGACTGGTGTGATGGGGGTAGTTGTGTCAGAGATGGTGAGACTGGCCAAGAGTTGAGCAGAGTTCCGAGCTGCTGTACATAGGGTGCTGTGGGTCACACTGTGCGAGGGCACATAACAACAATAACAACTGTCAGTGTCCAGGGAATAGCAATAAAAACCTGAATATGCCGCTAGGGTCGCCTGGAAAATGTTGGAAAGCAAAAATGCCCCCTTGAGGACCACAGTCCCCCTGAGCCAAGGCAGGACGAGGGTGCTGACCTCGTCCATACGCCGATGGCACACTCACACTGACGGCACACCCACACCAATCGCACACCCACACCGACGGCACACACATGCCGATGGCACATGCACGCCGATGGCACACCCACACCAATCGCACACCCACACCGATGGCACACGCACGCCGATGGCACACCCACACCGATGGCACACGCACGCCGATGGCACACCCACACCGATGGCACACGCACACCGACGGCACACACAGACCAACTGCGCACACAGCCTCCCAGCTGACCCACGTGGGCTTCAGGGGAGGAGATTGCCTGTCTTCTCGCCCCCACAGAGCAGCTAGTCGTCGATTCTGGTGACCAGATGCCACACTTGGCGGGCAGGGCACCCCCCAGGCACTAGGCCGCCAGAGCTCCCTGGCACCTGCCAGGAGATCGTTTATCTTGGGCCTCAAGGTGCACTTGCTTGTTTTCTTTTTCAATTTCGTTATACATCACAGTGAGTTTTGCAGGATGTACAAGGAGTCTCTCTGGGTTGAGGGGTCCCGTCGTTGGCCGTGGTGAGGACGGCCCTCACCCTGTCTCTGCCCCAGGCTTCCACTACGAGAGCAGCGATGAGACGGACAAGCAGGAGTTCGAGAAGTCCCTGGAGGCCATTGCTGTGTCTTTCAGCAGCACGTGAGTGCTGGGGCTGCAGGGGGGCTGGGGGCGGGCTGCAGGGTGTCCTGTGACACGTTCCTGACCCACAGCGTGTCTGAGTTCCTCATGGGCGAAGTGGACAGCAGCACCCTTCTGTCGGTGCCCGTCGGGGACCTGAGCCAGGTGAGCCCCAGAAGAGGCTGACAGGCTGGGCAGGAGGGCGGGGGTGAGCCAGCCATGGCCACGGCTGTCCTCGGGGTACTGTACTGCCTCATGTGTCTGCCCTGCACAGGCCATGGAGCACCTGTATGGACAGGGGGGTGAGACGACCCCGCCCAGCACAGAGGACTGGGCCGAGGGTGAGTGTCCACAAGGCAGGGGGGCAGCATAGAACTGAGTTAGAAGAGGATGAGGGGCTCAGATGGGTGAGGGCAGAAGGCCAGGATCAGCAGGTGGAGGGACCTGCGGGTGTGAGAGGAGTGAGGGCAGTGGTCAAGGTGGACGGAGCAGTGGGGAGCTGCAGGAAGTGACAGGTCATTGGTCAAGGTGGACGGGGCAGTGGGGGGCTGCAGGGTCAGCAGCAGAGTTTGGGTTAGGGAGGTGCTGTGGGAAGGTGGCGGTCAGGGTGAGGACGGACTGGTGGCAGGAGATCAGGCCGAGTGGGGGCCCCCACAGGCTGCCTGCCCCCCGAGGAGGTGGACATGTTGCTGCAGCGCTGTGAGGGGGGCGTGGATGTAGCTCTCCAGTACACCAAGAACATGGCCAAGTACATGAAGGACGTCATCACCTACCTGGAGAAACGCATCGTGCTGGGTGAGCGGTCAGCGTGCCAGTGGACCCAGCCTTGAACTGGTGCCCCCTGCGACCCCTGCTGCCCTGCCTCATGCTCCCTGCCCCCTACATTCCCTGCTCCCTGCCCCCTACACCCCCTGCTCCCTGCCCCCTGCCCCACCTGGCCCTGAGGACCCCCCCTCGCCCCCTGCCCCCTCACACCTGCCTGCCTCCTGCAGAGCTGGAGTTCTCCAAAGGCCTGCAGAAGCTGGTGCACAACTGCAGACAGAATGTCACGCAGGAGGTGAGGGAGTGGCGTCAGGCCCTGACCTGGGAGAGGCGTCAGGGTGCAGGGAGGAAGCGGGCTGCTGAGGGATTATGCGGGCCAGGGTGACCATGCCATCCCTGCAGCCCCACATGCCCCTGCTGTCCATCTACTCGCTGGCTCTGGAGCAAGACCTGGAGTTTGGCCATTGTGTGGTGCAGGCAGCAGGCACAGTGCAGACACAGGCCTTTTTGCAGGTGGGCAGAGTGGGGGCTGGCCGGGCGTGGGGGGACGGGGGACTGGAGCGCTGGGTGGTGGGGAAGCGGGGTCTGAAGACCCAGTGGTGGGGCTAGGCTGAGTGAGTGGGTTAGCCCGCAGGGGGCTGGGAGGTGGGCAGGATGGCTCAGTGGGCAGGTGGAGTCAGGCAGCCTGGTGGGCAGCCTGGCATGGCCTGTCCCTGGCCTCCCCACAGCCACTGACCCTGCGGCGCCAGGAGCACGAGAAGCGCAGGAAGGAGATCAAGGAGACGTGGCACCGCGCTCAGAGGAAGCTGGTAGGGGGTGTCCTGGGGGCGGGGCCGCCAGGTCAGAGCTGGGAGGAGCTGTGTTACCCACGAGAGCAGGGTGGGAGGAGCCAGGCGTGGTGTGCACCCACCTTCTTCCCCCACTTAGGTGTGTGGGCACCGTGGCCACCAGGTGATGTGTTAGGAAACAGCCTGGGTGACGCTGCACCCCCTGTGACGGTGCAATCCCCGTGACACTGCACACTCCCCCCCGTGACACTGCACCCTCCGTGACGCTGCAAACCCCGTGACACTGCACACTCCCCCCCGTGACGCTGCACCCCCCCCGTGATGCTGCACACATACCCCCGTGACGGTGCACACTCCCCCGTGACACTGCACACCCCGTGATGCTGCACATCTCCCTGTGACGGTGCAACCCCCCCGTGACACTGCACCCTCCCCCCCCCGTAGCACTGCACCCCCCCGTGATGCTGCACACACTCCCGTGACACTTCACCCCCCCGTGATGCTGCACATCCCCCCGTGACGTTGCACACCCCCAGTGATGTTGCACCCCTGTGATGTTGCACACCCCCATGATGTTGCACACCCCCCATGACGTTGCACACCCCCGTGACGTTGCACCCCACCCCCCCTGTGGTGTTGCACTCCCCCCGTGACGTTGCACACTCTCCCAGTGCATACTTCCTCCACTCAGTGTGTCAGTGGCTGCATTGCTATGGCCACCAGATACCTGATGGTCGGTTTCAGGCAGGGACACCTCTTCCCGCCTCCAGAAGAGGGTTCTCACCTCTGGGGGAGGGTCCACATCTCTATGAGGGTCCCACTGAAGGTGACATCTCGACCTCAGTGGGAGCCACGCGGGTGATGGAACGTGCCATGCATGGCATTGCCGGGTGGGGCAGATCTGGCCATGCTTGGACTGTCCCCTCCCTTGGACCCTGCAGCAAGACGCCGAGGCCAACCTGCGCAAAGCCAAGCAGGGCTACATCCAGCGCTGTGAGGACCATGACAAGGCTCGCTTGCTGATGGCCAAGGCCGAGGAGGAGCAGGTGGCCGGCGGGCCTGGGACAGGCGGTGCAGCCTCAAAGACCTTGGACAAACGGCGACGGCTGGAGGAGGAGGCCAAGAACAAGGTGTGGGGAGGCTGGCCAGCCCACCTGGACACTGGCCCATGGCGCTGGGCCTGGGGCAGGAGGCTCGAACTAGACACCACTCCTGCTTCTGGAGGCTGGGCGCTTGAACTCAGGGTGCAGGCCTGCCCTGTCCCCTCCAGAGGCTCTGGGCAGGGAGCTTCCTGGTCACCCCCAGCCTCTGATGGCCCTTGGCTCCCAGCTCTGTCTCCATCCTCACACCCTGCTGTCCTCGGGACGCCCTCCTGGGGACCCCTCCAGCTCCAGCAGGTCTTCTTCAACTGACATCAAGACCCCTTTGCAAACAGCGTCACCCTCACAGGCATCAGGGGAGGTTTCAGAATGTCCTTTTGGGGGACACAGTTTTCCCATAGCACCTCCTTAGCCTGGACTTTTCCCAAACACCTCATCACTGCGTAGCCCTGTCCCCAACCTTCCAGGAGCCCCATCCCTTCCCCCAGCACCCCCTTTGCCTCTTGCAACTCTGTCGCTCACACACGTTCTGGTGGCAGCTCAGTCAGCACCATGCCCTCCCCGATAGGCGCCTGCCCAGTTCCCAGCACTGTCCATGCAGTCCCACTCAGCTGACCTTAGCGAGCTCTGACACGTCTCTCTTGGAGATACATGATTAAAGACACAACCCCCCTTCCTTGCCTGATTGAGCACTGGCTTCCCGGGTGGGTCAGCCAAGGACCTATGTGGACCCCCCAGGCGGAGGAGGCCATGGCCACATACCGCACTTGCGTGGCAGACGCCAAGACTCAGAAGCAGGAGCTGGAGGACACCAAGGTCACAGCCCTGCGGCAGCTGCAGGAGGTCGTGCGCCAGAGTGACCAGACCATCAAGTCGGTGGGTGCTGTGGGCAGAGCTGGCACCCCCGGCCATGGCCGTCACACCCTGCACCGGTCCCCGAGGGCACCTGTGGCCATGGCCGTCACACACTGCACCGGTCCCCGGCGGCACCCCACCCCCCATGGCCCGTCACACCCTGCACTGGTCCCTGGTGGCTCCTGTGGCCATGGCCATCACACCTTGCGCTGATCCCCGGTGGCCTGGCCCTGAGGACACTCCCTGAGCACTCTCCTGACTGGGTCCTGTGTGCCCTCTGACCGAGTCCCTGCCCTGTCCCCAGGCCACTGTCTCCTACTACGAGCTGATGCACATGCACACAGCCCCGCTACCCGTCCACTTCCACATGCTGTGTGAAAGCAGCAAGCTGTACGACCCGGGCCAGCAGTACGCGTCCCACGTGCGCCAGCTGCAGCGCGGCGATGAGCCGGACGTGCACTACGACTTTGAGCCCCACGTCTCCGCCAGCGACTGGTACCGCGAGGAGAGGGCCTGGCTTCCCCAGAGACCCACCTCAGCCACCCCAAGGGTCCCCACAGAGCCCTGCCCCAGGGACCCCGCTGAGCCGCACCATAGGGGCTTCCAAGATCAGAGCAGCAGGTTCTGACTTCTGGAGCCAGGGGTTCGCATCCAGGGTGTGGGGCTGGCTGCCTCCCTCCCATGCTCTATGACAGGTCCTTGCTCTCTCAGATCCTGGGAACCCGGCCGCCTCTCCCTCTTCTTGGCCTCTGACCTCATGTGACCATGTCTCCTTCTGTCATGTCTCAGCTGGGTCTGGAGTTGTGCTGGCACCTTGGTGGTGCAGAGGTTAAAACATGGCACACTGCAAGAGAGAGATGAGGCCATGGGACCCTGTGGGCAGCTCTGCCCTGCCCCCTAGCCTCGCCAGGAGTGGACAGAGCCCTGGGTCTGGTTGGGGTGGATGGTACCACCCATGGTGCCCTGGTGTGGCCACCGTGTGCCAGCTTAATGCCATTAGCAAAGGCACCTTTCCACGAGATTCTGTTCACAGGGGCCGGCGTAAGACCAGAGTGGAGGACATAGTTCATCAAACCACAGGGGTCAGACTTCCTACCTGAAGGGGGGCGGCCGTGGGGCCCTATCACAGCCCTCTCCATGCCACCCCCAGGTCCCCAGTGATGCGTGTTCGGAAGACCAGCTTCCACGGTGATGGGGCTGGAGTGGAGGCCAGCAGCCCCCCAGACACAAGTGGGCCTGAGGAGGGGGTGCCAGGCAAAGAGCGGCGAGGTGCGTGGCAAGCAGCAGGGATGCCGGGTGGGAGTGGACGCTGCCCAACACCCTTTGCTCCTGACCAGACACATGCCTTCCAGGCATGCGCGGACACCAGGTGCACAAGTCCTGGCCCACCACAGTGTCAGACGTGGACAGCTGCCTGGATCCGGGGTCCGGGCCAGGTGAGGCCCTCTGGTGGTGGTAGGGGACACGTCCCTGCCGGCTCTGGAGAGCTAAGGTCAGTGTCCTGCTCAGGGGACTTCAAGAAGTTCGAGCGCACCTCGTCCAGTGGCACCATGTCCTCCAGCGAGGAGCTGACCCAGGAGGGGGTTCCAGGGGCGTCGGCCTTCGAGCAGGGTGAGCGCTGCAGGGATCTGGGGACTGGAGGAGGGGGAGTGGCCTGGACCCTGCTGACTGCCCACCCGCCGCAGGTGACCTGGACAGCGTGGCTCCCGGGCTGCCCGTCTCTGTGCCCAGCGGGCCATTCCGCAACGTGGGGCTGTCCAAGGCGGCGCGCACGCATCACCTGCGCAAGCTGCGCACGCCGGCTAAGTGCAGGGAGTGTAACAGCTACGTGTACTTCCAGGGGGCCGAGTGCGAGAAGGTGAGCGCGCGGGGGGGGGAGGCCCAAGGGGGGCCTGAGGGTAGGGCAGCTTCTGGCCGGGGTGGGTCCTGAGAAGGGGACGCTGCCTGGCATGCATGGGGTCGAGGGTGGTCTAGAGGGGAGGTGCGGCCCTGCGTGGGGTCCAGGGTGGTCTGGGGAGGGGACGGCCCTGCGTGGGGTCCAGGGTGGTCTAGAGGGGAGGTGCGGCCCTGCGTGGGGTCCAGGGTGGTCTAGAGGGGAGGTGTGGCCCTGCGTGGGGTCCAGGGTGGTCTGGGGAAGGGGCGGCTTGAACGGGGCTCCAGGACGATCAGGAGCGCACTGGCAGGCGGAGTTGGGGTGGCGTGTATGAGGCCCAGCGTGGGAGAAGCAGTGGCCACCCTGGGGTCCTGGGTGGCAGCGCCTTGAGGCCCTTCTCGCCCCCAGTGCTGCCTGGCCTGCCACAAGAAATGCCTGGAGACCCTGGCCATCCAGTGCGGGGGCAAGAAGCTGCAGGGCCGGCTGCAGCTCTTCGGGCAGGACTTCGGCCAGGCGGCCCGGGGCACTGCGGACGGTGTGCCCTTCCTCATCAAGAAATGTGTGGGCGAGATCGAGCGGCGGGCGCTGCACACCAAGGTGACGGGGCGCCCGGGGGGCTGCGGGTGGAGGAGAGGGCGCGACTGACCCGCCCGTGGGGCCGCAGGGCATCTACCGGGTCAACGGGGTGAAGACCCGCGTGGAGAAGCTGTGCCAGGCCTTCGAGAACGGCCAGGAGCTGGTGGAACTGTCTCAGGCCTCGCCACACGACATCAGCAACGTGCTCAAGCTCTACCTTCGCCAGGTGAGGTGGCCGGGAGGGGCGGGGCGGGACCCGGTCTCCGTGTGGGCGGGGCCTATCAGGACGGGGCGGGGTTGTGGGAAGGGGCGGGGGCCCATCCGGTGGCCGGGCCTATCTGGGGCGGGGCCTGCCTGGGTGTGGGGCGGGACCTGTCTCTGTGTGGGCGTGGCCTAACGGGGGCGGGGCTGCGCGGAGGCGGGGCCTGGTGGACTGAGACCTGACCCCACCACGCTGACCCCCAGCTGCCCGAGCCGCTGGTCTCCTTCCGCCTGTACCACGAGCTGGTGGGTCTGGCCAAGGACAACCTGAAGGCCGAGGCCGAGGCCAAGGCGGCTTCGAGGGGCCGGCGGGACAGTGGTGAGAGTGCAGCCGCTGCCGTGGCCATGGCTGGTCAGCTGAGGGAACTGCTTCGGGACCTGCCCCCCGAGAACCGCGCCACACTGCAGTACCTGCTACGGCACCTGCGCAGGTGAGGGGCCCGGGGGCAGGTGTGGGGGGATCGCTGGGGCCGGGGTCTTGCAGCTCCCCCGCTGCAGCCCCTGAGAGGTTGTGTGCTGGGGGGGCACCTGTGCGGGGAGGCACCTGCCGGAGGAGGGAGAGGTGCCCAGCCTCCTGCTGCCCCCAGGATCGTGCAGGTGGAGGAGGAGAACAAGATGACGCCCGGGAATCTGGGCATCGTGTTTGGGCCCACGCTCCTGCGGCCCCGGCCCACTGAGGCCACCGTGTCCCTGTCCTCCCTGGTGGACTACCCCCACCAGGCCCGCGTGGTGGAGACTCTCATCGCTCACTATGGCCTGGTCTTTGACGAAGGGCCAGAGGAGACAGCGCAGGTCCAGGTAGGGGCGGCTATTCCCCTGCCCTCTGCCCGTGTGGGTGGTGCTGGGGTGGGGTCTCCCCAGGGGACAAGGGTCAGAGCTCTGAGAGATGTGGATGTGGAAAGATGGGACGTCTCAGAGGGCCCTGGCCCCCACCAGCTTCTGGCCCCCAGCTAGGCCCAGCCTGTCCCACCTGCCTCTGGCTGCCTGTGTGTCCCAGGGTCACCCTCAGACAGACAGGGAAACAGGCAGGAGGGTGGTCAGGGCCCTTCTGGGGTGGGTGCAGAAACCAGTTAAGGCAGGGTGGACCTCTGTCCACTCAGGCTGGAACAGCAGGAGGTCCGGCCATTCTCTGGTGGGGTGTGTAGCCTCTGTGGCAATCGTGAGCACAGGATGTATCTAGGGTCTGGAGCCCCAGGTGATCTGGGCTTGTGTCTGCATGGCCTCCAGCTGCCTCGCCCTCACATGGGGACTTCCAGGATGCTTCTCCTGGTTGGAGCCCATGCAGCCTAGGGTGACCCCCTGGGGACTAGTTCTCAGTCACAGGTAGGGTGTCAAGCTAAACTCCGGATGTCCACAGTGGGCAGCAGTCCTGCTCCCCAACTGGGTCCCCAGAGGCGAGGAGCACCAGCAGGCCTTTCTCACTTAGGATAGGTGAACCTGGAGGGCTGGGGGTGGGTGGAGCCTGAGCTCAGCCCCCAACCTCGATGCCCTGCAGGACGCGGCAGCTGGCCAGTGGTCTGAGGTGGTGGTGCAGGTGTCGGACCTGGAGGCAGCTGAGGACGGGCCCCGAGGTGAGTGGGAGTCGGGCAGCCCTCTTCCTGGGTCCTCCTGCCTGCACACAGTCTAATGCTGTCAATACATCTGAGTCTCCGACAGCCGCTGCCCCTCTTGACTTCCCCCAGGCTCCCATCTGCTCTCCAACGACTCCGACTCGGAGCTGGAAGAAGGCTCAGACCTGCTGTCCTCAGCAGGGTCCACAGCCCTGCATGGCCTGAGCGTCCTGGAGAGGCAGGGGGATGAGGCAGGCCTGGAGGGTGCACACGGCATCAGTGAGGAGCAGCTGGTGGCACCCAGTGACGGGGACGAGCTGGCCAGGCACCTCTCGATGTGTAACACCAACCAGTCTAATAACACCTCGGCCAGTGTCTGGCTGCCTGCCCTGAGGCTAGGGGCTCACCTTACCGGGCACCTGCCGGGCCATGTGGCCTGAGTCCTAGGACCTCAGGTGGTGGGCAGAAAGTGGCCTTGGCAGAGCTGAGCTGAAGGCATCACGCAGGCTCCTAAGCTCGGGGTGGCCCATGGTAGAGGGTTGTTGGTTATTCTTTGGACTTTTCTGGAAAACCTTTGGATACTGTGGGGTCAGGTACATGACATGGTGACTCCCCGCAGCCTGGGGTGGCCCTCTGGGCTGCAGGGCTACTTTGCTTAAAATAAAACACAAGGTCGAGCTGGTTGGTGTCTGTCCCCTCATTCTGGTCCCCTCTTCTCACTGGGATGTGATGCTGGCCCATGGGGCCACCTACCCTGTCCCCCAGTGTGTGTGCCAGCATTGAGAGCTGCAGTGGAAGGTGCCAGAAGTGACCCTCTTCTCCAGTGTCTGAAGCAGTGAGACCCAGGCCTGGTGGCCCTGCACACTCATGGCTGGTCACTCCAGGCAAAGCGCAAGGATGGGAAGGCCGAGGGTCCCTGGAAGGACCCTGCGGGCTGGTCTTGCTGTGGAGAGACCTCCTCAGGGTCCCCTGCGGCATGGCTGGTGCTTAAGAGTGAGCAGGAGTGCTGGGCTGCCTTCAGGGGCGCCTGACTGTGGCCCCAGGTCACCAAGGTGGCTAGGCCAGCAGGTCACACCCCCTCAGGGACCCTGGCCCAGCACCACACAGGGTAACCCAATATATAATTCTTGAAGAGCCAGACACAGTTCCTCAGAGATCTTTACTTGAGTCACAGGGCTAAGGGCTGTGGACCTCATCCTCTGCTGAGGTCAGAGGGCACCAGACACGAGGGGAGCAACAGGCAGAGCTTGGGGAGGAGGGGAGAGAAGGGGGGACTGACTCTTCATGACCCCCTCGCCCTCTCTGGGCACGGGCCAGAATGACCCACTACGTCTGCACTGAGCCGCCATGTCCTCACTGCCAAAGCCTGCTGTCCATGCAGTGGGTGGTGTCCCAAGGGGGCCAGTCTCCAAGGCTGGAGAAAGGCAAGAGGTTGACCCACAAATGGAGACATTGGGACCATCACCTCGCCCTGTCAGGAGGCTTGCCCTGCAATGACAAGCCAGGGTCCGAGAGCACAAAGTCAGGTGCGGGAGCAGACGCAGGCAGTGGTGACATAGTCAGGTGTGGGGAAGGCACCGGCCACAGTGAGTCAGGTGTGGAGAAAGGTGCAGGCCATAGTGACACAAGTGTGGGGACAGCCGCAGGCCCTGGTGACATGGCCAGGGCCCCAGGTCTCTGGGATCACCAAGTCTCCCCAGTTTGCAAGATGCTGGAGCCACTCAGTCCAGGCCCCAGCTGTCTGGAAGGTTCGTCCCTCAGCTGCAGAGTGAACACCTTGGTTCTGCAGTGGACACTGGTAGGCCACCAGGGTGGGCTGTGGGGGACAGCACGCAGGAAGCAGCTCACGACACTTCTCACTGACCCGCTCCAAGCAGGGGCCTCCTCTGTGGTGTCAGTCAGCACTATTGCACCAGCCGATAGGTGATGTACCTCCCGGCTGTCTCACTAGGCCGGATGATCTTCACCACCTGTAGGGGGACAGGGACCTCAATACAGGTGCGCTGGGCAGGGACACACAGGGTGGTCCCACGACAGGCCCTGCCCTAGCCCAGGATTAGGATTCAGGTCCCCAGTGGCAGGAGGGGGTGTCCTTGGCCTGCTGGACCCTGACTAGCTGCCTCTGGGTCCCGGCAAGGGCTGGCCCTCACCTGGCCACGCTTTATCCCGAAGTATCGTGCCACTGGATCTCCGGCCTGGATCCTGGGGAGCTGGTTCTCACGGAGTTTGCTAGGGTGTGGTCAGGAAAGAGCCAGCAAAGTCAGAGAAGGGACGGAGGGGATGGGGTCACAGGGTCCAGAAAGGTCAGAGAAAGGAGGGAGGGGATGGGCCATGGGGTCCAGAATGGCCAGAAGATGGGGAGGGCATGAGGTCACAGGGTCCAGACTGGAAGAAGGCGGCAGGGAGGGGACAGGGCCAGTGCGTCCAGAAAGGATACTATCGAGCCAGCAGCTCGGTCACCTCTTCCTTCGTCATGACGACGTGCTCAGGCACCAGCTGTGAAGAGGGAAGCTGTCACTGTGGAGCCAGATGCCTGAACTGACCCACACGGATGGTCACCCTGGCCCGTCCTGCGCCCTCCGCCCCGATCAGCACTGACTCGCACGCACGGTCATCCTGTCCCCCCCCACCCCCGTCAGCACTGAGCCACACAGACAGTCGTCCCGGCCGTCCTGCGCCC